CTATATTCCTACTGGAATAACTAGCCCAGTTCAATTAACTATCGTATAGACAGTGAATATTCACAGTGGAAACTCATGAATCATCAGACAGGGCCATTTTGTTTTCAAAAAATCTATTTGTTCACATGACAACTTTCAATAGCCTGCCAACCTCCTATCAACGAGATCAACCACTTCTGAATCCTCAAATTGTACAACGGGCCTAGATAATCCAAGGTACCCAACCTGGATACTCATCAATCTTCATCTCATCTTGGATGGTTTTCACATCACTCTCCAGGTTTGAATATCTTTTATCAGCAACTTTTGACTAAGACTTTTCATCCTCCTTTCCTGAAGCAACTCCACCTGACATGGTGCGGGAAGGACGAGCAGCGACTGCTCGGTAAATAGGGTACTTCGTGAACATCTTGGTCACATGCCTCAGATGGCACAGTTCAGAACATGTGTGAAAAGAAAGAGTACTTTTTCAACAAATGCTCACCACGCTCTGGCAACCTGATACAAGTTGTGGTAGCCCACGACGAGGGATTAATAGCACTGGGGTTATATGATATCGATAAAGGGATCTGAGCGCTGAGCAGGCAGCACCACAGGGCTGAACCAACCTCTTCCTACTCCACTTGTGGAGAAACAAAAATTGTTTGCCTTCCTTCTGGACGAGATCAGGGTCGAAAGATAAGTCTTCAAGAACGTGAACGACAAGGGTCTCTCAGACTAACCACTGGTACTAAAACTAACAGTGCTGAGAACAATGTAGTGATATCGAGAGTGGCTTATGTATGGAAATCATGGGTCGTATATTGCTAATAGACAATGTGGTGGTCGGATTAGAATAACGCCAGGGTAAGTCCTGCCTGTCGTATAAGGCGATCAGAAGGACGCCAATAGGTGGAAGATGGTTAACGTCATCGCCCGGTGCGATACCACCACATCAACCATATGCACTGTGAAATGGGTATGCTTACCCGTGTTTCAGTAGCTGGTTGTTGTTCTGGCCAACCCAATCCAACTCAATTTCCTTTTTCTTCCACGCCAACCTTCCTTCTCTATACAGAATAAGCGAAGATAAGTTCTCCTCGAGTTAAATTATCCGGAAGTAAAATACCTCCCCATTCGGATTTACAAGAGAGGGGTGCTAGAGGGAGTTCACCACCGACTGAAAAAGTCCTCAAGATAGACCTAGGTAACATCTGAGGTCTAAGTAAGAACATCAAAGATGTCCATCGACACCTTCAAATTGAAAAGCCAAACATATTGGCTCTTACTGAGACACAGGTCAATTCATCCACCAATACGACCTATCTGCTCTGTCCTGGGTACGAACTCCACACACGTTTCAGATTTAAGGGAGGTCTGTGCCTCTACTCTGAAACAAATCTCCCATGTCAACGAGCAAAAACTTTGGAACCAAATAAGTTTGATGTCATGTGGTCCAAGCTCGATAGCCAGAAACAGACCAAATACCTTTGTTGTCTCTACTTATCACCAAATGATCCATCCTATGAAGAGCTATTCGAATTTTCGTATCTGAAGCTGACCAAATCCAACAGAACCATCCAGCAGCAGAAATCATCATCATGAGCGGTTTCAATGTACACAACACTACTTGGCTCGTACACTCTAGCAAAACGGATGAAGCTGGGCGACAAGCCGAAGCTTTCTCCATCACTCACGGCTTAGAGCAGCTTATCAAAGAACCCACACGAATGTCCGATGCCAATCACCATCCAGCTAACATACTTGATTCATTCATCACTATTGATTCAGCACCCTACACCATAGATGTACGAGCTCCACTTGGCAATACTAACCACACACTCATCTCCATAACCTGCTCATTTTCTATTTCATCAACTGCTCCGGCACCCCCACGTCTTATATGGCATCACAATTCAGGAGATTGGGATGGTCTCCGCATGTTTTTCTCTGAGTTTCTCTGGCATATGCTTTGACTCTGAGGACCCTTCACAGTGTGCTGCGGAGATATCCGAGATCATCATGCTCGGAATGGACACATACATACCTCATTCTTCGAAAAGATCATCACCATCAAAACCCTGGTTCAACAAAGACTGTTCTAGAACTGTTGCCTTGAAACAAACAGCCTACCATCGCTGGCACAAAAACCCTTACTTCGCGACTAGAGCAGAATACGTTGATGCCAGAAATAACTACAGCCAAACAATAGATGCTCCGAAAGGAACATACAATGCCAAGATTTGATCGGAACTCATAGATTGTCCCAATGGCTCCCGTTCGTTTTGGTCCCTTGCTAAAGCGGTCGGAAGAAAGTTCTCTAATAGTTCATTTCCACCACTGTCCAAATCCGACGGCACATCAGCAACACCATCGTAGAAGGAAGCAGATATGTTTGCAGAGATTTTCGCAGCAAACTCTACTTTAGATTCCGTCAACGCACTATCAGACGAATTCTGCTTGGTCTCAAAACGAATGAGGCTAACGGTCCTGATAGAATTCCACCCAATATTCTCAAAGAATGTGCACCAGAATTAACACCGATTCTCTGCAAGTTGTTCACCGTCTCGTACAGGTCGGGTATTTTTCCATCATGCTGGAAGACAGCTAGAGTCCAACCAATCCCCTAAAAAAGGAACAAGAACCTGCCCAACAACTACAGGCCCACCGCCCTGTTATCAGTTATTTCCAAAGTGATGGAGGAAGCCATCAATATTGAGCTTATCAAATATCTGGACAGCTCGGGAATCATCAATGATAGACAATACGACTCTCGGCACCGTAGATCTACTGGAGATCTACTTGCTCACGTCACCCATTCATGGTAAGCTTCATTAGAAAAACACGGGGAATCTCTAGCTGTCGCGTTGGACATATCGAAAGCATTTGACCGTGTTTGGCACAAAGGACTCCTCCACAAACTACCATCATACCACCTCAGCTATGCCATCTGTTATCAAGTTTTCTTTCAGGCAGATCGCTTCATGTGGTGGTGGACGGTGTATCGTCTGATACAATTGGCATCAATTCCGGCGATCCACAAGGATCAATTTTGGCACCAACATTATTCCTTCTTCATATCAATGATCTGTTGGGAGTAACAACTTGCCCCATCCACAGCTTTGCAGATGATAGTACCCTCCATACTGCGTTCTCTTCCAGTATTCCCATTCCTACCCAGGAAACTAAGAACTCACGGCGCAGGCAGGTCAATGCTGTCAATGGAGACCTCGCTGAAATCACAGCCTAGGGAACCAACAACCTAGTTGAATTCAACGCCACCAAAACTCAAGCCTGTTTCTTCTATAGAAAGGCGGAACTCAGTAGGCTCGACATTGCAATGTCTGGCACCACCATCCTCACCAAGCTAACCATATCTATACTCGGTTTTTCCATCAGCCACACTCTTTCATGAGATAATCATGTCAGATCCATCGCAAAAGCTGCTTCACAAAAACTCGGGTTCTTGTTCCGTGCAGAAAGCTACTGTACACCTCAACAGCTCCTTATGATCTACAGAGCGCAGACAAGGCCTGTTCTAGAAAACTGTTCCCACATATGGGGTTCAGCACCAAAACATACGCTGATGCTCTTAGATTCCACCCAGAGAGGAGCCATTTGCCTGGTGGGTGACGCCACACTCACTCACTCTCTGACATCATTGGAACACCGTAACTCGGAAATCTTTACCAGTCAGACGACCTAGACAAGCCCAGTCAGCACATACTTCCGTTGTCAACCTCGAAAGATGTCAAACAGCACTTTATCCAAACTCCTTCATCCATAGAACGGCTAGGCTCTGGAATTCATTGCCTGATGAGGAAGTATTCCCAACAACATATAATCTCCAGAAGTTCAAGAAGAATTGCAATACCTACCTCCTATTCCTATCCTCCCTAAGAACGCACGATGTTCTTTGAACATTATTGGGATTCTCTTCCGTGCGCTCCAAGCGATAAAAAAAACATCAACGGTATAGTCGGGTTGAGATACAATGGCCAACAGGCCTGAGTGTCATCGGAGACTTTAGTCAGACGAACCTTGGAACGAAGTAATGTGTTTGGTGGGTACACTCACATATAGTGAAAGTAATTATTCGTGATGTCCATGGAAGATCATCATCACCGTCGAGTCATATCGGCAAGGAAGCTATCGGAAAACCAGGAATCTATTAAAATTTCTGTCTAAATTATTGGTGATGATGTGTATTGTTATTTGAACAGTCGGACTTTCTTCATCAGGAATTAGTTCCGCGTACTGAATGGCCGTCTACCCCTATGTATCATGAAACAGTGTTCAACATCACATTTTAGAAAAGCATATATTATGGCCTTCCAGTATGAAGAACCAATTCCAAATGTAGGTCAATCGACTACACAAGTGATATGAGGAAACCATACCACTCATTACGGATAACATCATAGAGGAAACATCTACAGAAGATTTTGGATCTTTCGACAGCCCAATTCGGACATGGCTTAAACGATTGACGGGAATTGGAAGTTGTATAAAAACTTGATGCACTAACAAATTGTTTCTCGACTCCTCGTTCAATTTACAAATCATGGGGCATTAGATCTGTATAGTGGAAAATCAGCAGTTGCCTGAAAACTTGAATGTAAAAGAATAAATCTCAAAAATTAGAGATCGAGCTGTTCGAGGATTCTTTGAATTATCATTTCGTTATGGAGATTCAGATGTCTTTCTTCTTCTTCTCTTTCTCCCTTGTTTATCAAAGTAGACCTCCTTCTGCTACTGAGGCTCATCACCGACGTCGGTGAGCACACTACCCTCGATTGGAAATTTTGGCGAATTCTCTGGATCTTTGACGACTCCATCATCCATGGCCTCGAGACCGCCAGCTTAACGTCCCCTCCGGAGAACGGCATATTCGTACCATATCTTGTGCTCATTGATATGGTAGCTGTAGCTATAATTTGTTATTCTGCTTAATCATAGGTCTCCACACCGTAGTTCATAATGACATAATTAACATGTTTTTCCATCTACCGAATTTTCAGGAGTGTCCGGAGTAGGACATTCTGAGGACATGAAGTACTTATGGACATATTTCACGGATCTGGACTCCTTCCCATTATCGGATGTGCAGACAGTTGATAGATATGTAGGCTTATCTACTAATTTCGTAAAATACTTGTGAGCAACATATATCATCAGAGGTATAATATATAATAATTTTTAATTTCGTTTTAGGAATCCAACACCGATAGCTGAAGATTCATTTAGTAATATCACATTCCCCAGACTTACCAGAGATGAAATGAACTATATGGATATTAGTTCAGAACTACTGATCAAGAAGCATCCTAGAGAATTCTCATACGAGAAATGGAACGAATTGTTCGAAGCTCATGCCAATGAACCCTTGATCACATACTGAAATGAATAATATGACAATTTCATAAAATTCATTAAACAGTAATCAGAATTGGAAATCAGTCATTCCAATGTATGAAATTGGTTGAAATAAACTGTTTAGCTCACAAGAAGTGTATAATCATTATAAACTATTCAATTACACTGAATAGAATTGATTGATTGATATGACGATTCCCTCTTGATAGAACTAATGAGATTGAAAACCTATCATAGCATCGAAAAACTCCAACAGTGACTAAAAAGACTCAACTGGTCTCAATATTCATATGATTATCAATTTTTTCATGATCACGTTCATCATATTCTGTGGAACAGGAAGTTCATGAGTTCTAAAGAATTCATAATGTGAATGCGAACGAAACACCCGCAATCAGTATCCGTTTTATACGAAACGTAGATTCCAGGAGGATGTAATCCAACGTAGTGCGTGGCATCGGTCAGGAAAGTGGTTCTTTGTCTACTGACAAATTTGATTATTGTTGTTTATTTTATCGAATACCCATTGAGATTATTTCGAGTAATTGCTGCGATGATAACAGGTATTCACAAGTAGCTATGAAGAATAAGACAATATCGTTTCGAAATATATTTTTTCTCGTGTCAGGTCATAAACTATCTCGTGGATTCTTTCTATAGATATACTTGTGAAATTGGTCGAAAACAAGCTCTCATTGCTAAAACTCTGTTGATTCGGAAAAACATTCACGGAATGTATTGATCCCCTCAGTTTCCAAATACACACACTGGCACAATTAGGGGAACGGGTAAAATTTACACTATGTTTGACATCAATTTTCTCTCGAACCGATCACTCGATTCAAATTTGTTTTTCACGAATTGTTGCTTCATTCTTCACGAATACATCTGAGAAATAACCACCTCCAAACGATTCGTCTTTATATCATATACAGGGGTGTAAAGAAAGTACGGATTTTTCGGTATTCTTTAAGACATCCTGTGGAGTGAACCACTAATAATTGGAACGATATTCCAACACCAAATTATAGCCCAATCTATCCCGAATATTTCCGTTTTTTATTCATCTTCATATCCCAATTATCCAAGAAAATATAGGGTTTCAAAGAAGAGGTGGATATTGGTATTAATTTTACCACCTCGAAACTCGAACTGGGGAGCGAACGTGTCGTTTTTTAACTTGTTTCTGTGAGGATTTTTACTTCAAGATGTTCACAGTTTTACCTATCGTTTTACATGTTCAGAGACACATATACGAATACTCTCATGAATATGCAGGGGTGATAAAAGTTGCTCCAATGTTCTTTTGATGAAATGCTATTTGTGTTAATCAACGTTGGCTATTTTGTTAATGTCATTAATTATTGTCAAAGTCAAGCGATTCACAATTCATGAATTTGATTAATGAAAATTCAACATGAGAAACACGCCAGGTTGAAGGTTCGCACCAATGTATAGCTTTCCACCATAGATTTATTCTATTTTTGCTCATATGACTATCCCACTATGATGAACTATAGTATAGCATGAAAATATAGAAAGTGAAAGGCCATGAATTATTGAACAGGACTATTTTTATATTTGAGAATCAAATTTTTCACATGTATATTTTCAACAACCTGTCAACCTCCTACCCTACAAATCAAGCACTTGCTGAAAACAATTCAATCAAGAGTAGTCAGATATGCGAAAAGGTCTCTGTATAGATGTATCAGACATGGTTCGCACATGATTGATTACAATTTGTCACTTAGCTAGACTCCTCTGCCTGTAATTGAGCACTAGGGACGACGGCAGTGGTCAACCCAGCTGGACGTAACTGATCCTAGACATCACCAGTAGGTTGGCCTCAGGAACAAGTCCCAACTTCAGATCGCCAGTTATCACTCCTGACTGAAAACGGCTTGGTACGAGACAGACTGTCTAAAGCTTCATTACTAACAGTCTTATATAGAAATGAAGTATCCATAAGAATCCGATAGGACCTCAGAACAACAAGAACAATGTCATGAACTATCTTCTAGAAATATTATCAAATGAGGAACACGCCCCTGTTTGTGTTGACGATGGCAAGATGGTGGTACTGTCGGTTGGAATCCGAACAAGTCGATGACGATAGTGAACTCAACACATCAGAACCTTCAACTCCAATAACAGGTGATTGAAACATCCCTTACTTCAGTATGATGTGTGGAGACTCTTGTTATTTATTTTTTGAAGTGCTTTCCGGAGACGGTATTCCTAGATCATCATCGATTTCGGGTTAGTGTAGTGACGTCGATATATAATGAATGGTGATTACTGAGAAAGAAGCGGAAGATGAATCACACCACTTGTTCGAAAACATCGTTTCAGTTATCCACCTATACAATCCGGTGTGAGCTTCGTCTAGCTCCGATGTTTAGTCTGAGCATCATTCTGATAAAGCTGTTCGATTCAGCGAAAATTTTATTCCGTTCCTACGAATGTACCACCTTCAACGATTTGCTGCAGAAGGTACTACAGGAATTTTTGTGAAGTACTACAACCTGGTTTCATATTTTCATCCATGAAAACAGTTTTGTCATTACCAATTGTGGGGAATATGCTACCAGTATTCTGCGATGGTCTCAAAATGTTGACTCTCATCAAATACCACATCACATTCGATCTGATGTAGGAAGATTTTGCAGACATTGGGAGTGCTGAAACATGTTTTGTGTCACATTAAGTTGATTCAATATACGTATTGGACTTTTTATGGAATGATCACGATATTATTAATGGCAAAGCTGCTCGGATTGACCCTCAAGTGCACAGGAGGAATGTCAACAGCACCCTACAGCCTTCACACTATTCTCGATTCTTTAAGCAACGAAATTATTTCCAATCATACTCTCATCATTCATTCTCACTTTTTTTCTACGAATTCCACAGATACTAAAATGGTGAACGAAGAAAATGAACTCCCAAACTCAAAATAACAAAAATATTCGCATAGGAAGGACATAATGGGATAAATGCCTGATGGAAGTAAATGGAGTATCATTAGTTTGACAACATTGAGTTACAATCTGGTTTCACAGATGAACAGTCCTTGCAGACATTCTTCATTTGTTGCAGACACCTTTGCTTGGCATTGTTCACAAAGATATTTATTTCATTACATTTCTGCAATGACAGATAGGTGTATTCGTGAAGGTCTAATCACAAACTGGCGTTATGCCTCACGACCACTTCTTGTCAAATAACCTTCCCAGTTGTCCCCAACAGCTTTCTGAAATTTTGGCGATTTGAGAAAATGAAAATCATTGGGGGTCATCTGTACCCCCACGTGTGCACTTGAGGGCTGAAGAAAAACTGACTGTTTTGAGTGCAGTGAAGTTTATATTAGGATTTTGTGATGTTTGTGATAGTTTGTATAGTGATGATTCAAGAGAATGATTGTTACATTTGATAGAAGATTTGAGACTGATTCAGATAAAGAGCTGTGAAGAATGTGATACTTTCCATTCAAATTTCATTAGCTCTGCACGAAAAATATGAAGTCTGAAGTTGCTGTGCTCTCAGAGTTCCTGGAGTCTTTCGATACGATTCTTTCGAGGTTCCTCGAACAAGAAATGCAGTATATTACAGTACGATGTCTCATTAAATATGTAGATCCTTGTGACCCATTTATGGTGTGGCACACACTTCCTCAAGGATATCGCTGCATCTCCAACCTTTGAATCAAACTGCCTAGCTTTGTTAATTATATCCGTTTCAATTGGGCTGTTCATTGAAAAGGACCGCTATCTCCTCAAGAAGTATGCAATCATCGTAAAAATGGATTACTGAAAGAGATACGATATTATGATATATTCTCATTCTCGTATCCCTTCACCTCTTGAATCATTTCTCAAACGTCAGCTGTCGAACGTCAGCTATCATACGTCATACGACTTTTTTCCTAACACATGTTCATTCAAAAAATGTAACGAATATAGACCTATGAATACCCTGTCATTACCAAAGAAGATGATGGAGATCATATAAAAGAACAATTCTCAAAACATTCATTGAATAATAAATGCTAATAGAAAAGCAGTCAGGCTTTCGTGACATACACTCATGTGGGACATCTATTCAGTTGGTGATAACTGAGTGGAAAAAACACATTGAGCGAAAATAATCAGTGTCATTGGTATTTGTAGACTTCAGAAGGGCGTTTGAAACTATCAATTGAAAAATAATCATTGAAAAACTCGAAAATTACATTTTAATCACATAATTTAGTGTAACCATTCATTTTCATTTATAATTATCAGTGATATAACTTAGATTTGCATTAATTCACGTTTGATGCATTGAGGTGAACGCATGAGTGGGTATCGACACTTTCAAATTGATTATTTTACGCTTATTGACAGGCGAAATTTTATGGTGACGCTGGATGCTGCTGCCTTCTTTTCGGCTGACACCTGTACGGTAAATGTAAGGTGTGTGTGCGCATCGCTCGGGAGAATCAACTAATGAGACGCTACGCGACACACAACGCAAAAACATAATGAAAAAATCATATAGGTATCGAATACCTTCGCCGGTTATACAAAATAGTTTCTTCAATAGAACCTCTCAGAATGCGATAAGTGACGAAATTCGTGAGAACAAGAAGATCCTACCTGTGGAGCGACACCGAAGAAACTAAAGTCAAGTCATTTTTAACCAATCAAACGACAACAAAATATTTCACAGTCCACGCTCAATTCAACATTTGATCCTCGCTTAAGTGCCTACCATTCAATATATTTCCTGGAATTGCTTACTTAAATACCTTTTCACACTCTATCAATTCAATTCAAACCGCATTTCAATAGATAGGTATTGTTTCAGTGAGATATAATATGATTATTGTGTTTTCCAAGGTGTTTTCATGATCAAAGTCAATTTTTGCAGTGAGCGTTCTCATCATATTCCAAATATCTATAGCTACGCCGGCAATCGAAATCAGTAGCCATCGTCTTACAATTTTTTGTGAACGAGTGCAACGGACTTAACGTTTTCCTTCGCGTATTGTTTTTCAGGTGGATACGATGAGCTCGACGTTCAGCTACCTGTTCTATACATATCCTAGCACAGTTAATTGACCCTCTACAGCTGTTCATCTGTGAACAATCGATTTATTCGTTGGTGTGATCCAGTCTTGACTTTTCGCTTAGGTTTTCTCAACGAACTATTGCTTCTCAATTGATTGTTTTCGTATCCAGTTTGCATTAAGATTTTCATTAACATTCTTTCCTTAAGTATGAAATGTTGGTAGTTGCGGGTAGATTAAATAGACACAGTTACCAGAAAAGTTGGTTTATTCCGATCACCGATGTTACGTTCGCAAGTACATGATACATTCTTCCACTATTCCCAGTCCATCCAACATGAATATCTATTGTAATATCTCGATCAGCACTTTTAGTCTGATCAAAGTACGAAAGTTCGGTGACTACAATATTAACAAAAACCTACTTTTGTCAGTGCAATGTTCTTGCGGAATGTTTGAGATTGCTGACAATGCTCATTGCATGTATCATTACTTAGGTAGAATAATCATAATCAAAACACCAATTCATATAACAATATACATG